TAACTGAAATTTCGAAGTGCACAAAAGTTCTTACTTGAGTTCAAGTCGAGATTGTGAACGAATTTTCTTCAAGTTGCAAGAGGAAGAAGAAAAAGAAGACAACCTTGAGCGTGGGTTTGTGAAAATTGGATGATTAAATTTTTAGGGTTTTTTAGTTAGATGGGTTTTTTAAAATTGGGTAAGTGGGGCGGGTTTGGGTGGGTAATGGGTGGGTTTTAATTATTTTAAATAATTAAATTACAACCAATGGTTGAGTGCCACGCAATTAAAAATTATATATTTTTTTAAATTTTGATCCGTTAATGAAGGGGTAAATTTGGACCCAAAGGTGGATGTGAAGGGTATTTATGGGCTAATAGGTGGATGGGGGGTAATTGTGTACCATTTTCAATACTTCGAGGGTATTTTAGGCCCTTTTCCGTTAAAAAAATAAATACATATAGTAAAAATTACATAAATTTCATAGAATTAAAAATTAATTATATCATGTTTTTATGCTTTTTAAAATTATAAAAATTTCTTAAATTTATACAATCTCGGATATATCAGAAAATTTAAGGTACATAGCTCATGAATTGCGAATAATACATTATTTAATTGGAGATGTAATTGAGAAGGGATAGAATATGTGAGAGGGAATTCTTGTAATGGTAGGAATATTTTTAAGATTATGATGAAAATTAGATGTGTATTCATGTAATTATTCCAAAAATTTATCTAAATTATTTTTTTTAGTTGGCCAACAAAGAGGCCTTGCTTCTAGTCTCACGAGTCGGAATTTATTTGGGATGTGATTAAAAGTTTTATTTTTAAATCAGGTTCAAAAAGCTTAGCTCATCTCTGACACCCCACTTAAGATAAGAAGTCTTATATTGACGAAAAATACAAAAGAGATATTGAGTATATAAGTAAACAAGTCTCACCAACTAGCGACACGCTTTAAAGTTGTGCATCATAAGTCAAAAGCGGACAATATCATTAGCGAGTTGTGCTGTTACAAATGGTATCAAAGTCATTCATGTGTCAGCTTTGTCGATGTTTGCCAGAGTTCATTTGAGTTAAGATGAATCCCAGTAAGACGACACAAACCTCGGGACTGAGTCTAGGCAAATCTCATACGGTCGGACACAAGTACACAATTATACTTTATGCAAGTTTAAGTGTCTTTTAACTTAGCCTCATTTCACATTTATGCCCTTCAACTTTGGGTATATACAAGTAGACACTTAAACTTGTATAAATTTGAACCAGTAGACAAACGAATCTTACATGACACGATACACGTAGGATACCACATAAGATAATAAAATGACATGTACAATGTCATGTAAGACATGCGTGTCAATTTGTTCAACTTTATGCAAGTTTAAGTGTCTACTTATGCACACCTAAAATTAAAGAGCATAAATATAATTTGAAGTAAACTTAAATAATATATTTATATATTATGTCAAATATATATATATATATCACCAATTTATGTCTAATATATATATCACCAATTTATGTCTAAAATCTTAACAAATTTGGTTTATTAAATTCCTCATTCATCCTTTCGAGAATGTACACAATGTGGATCACATATTCACATTGATACAGAGAGATATGGTTATTGGAGTAATTTCAAAATGGCTTATCGATATTCACGTGGGACTGTTTTGTCGATATGGGCACGCACTCCTAGACATTGTAGGAGAAAATGAATGGGGCTAATATGACAAACAAAATTCAATAATTTGGTGAACTTGAGAAAATTTACAGGTTATGTTTTACAACTATAATTTTGTTTGTCATGAAATTATAGTTTGTGTATTTCGCTTGCGAGATTATAAATATGATAAGTATATTCAAGTTATATACTTAAAAAATTTTAGAACTCATTATCTGTATATTTTTTTTTGTCAATGTATAAACGTAATAGTTTATTAATTTTTTTTAAAAAAATTGTATACAAATAGTTAAGATAAATATGATATTTTGAAATTATACAAATAGAAATAAAATTATAGAAATTTTAAATTTATACTATTAAAAAAACGTAATAACAAAATTTCACAAGACCATAGCGTATGCATACAGAAATATTCAACTTATGCATATAGAAACATGATCCCCTAAAGTATACCAAAGTATAGGCCTTTAGCTAGGACTGTGCCTCAAGAAATTTCCTCTTGTTTGGCCTAATTAATATGTTTGGTTTGGGTCAAATCTTAATTCCTACCAAATAAATAAAGATGCACAATTATTGAACCGACATGAACTGAGGCCACAATCGACGAGATTTTGGCAAGTGTAAGAACAAGATAACTCCATAATTTTGGTATTCATTTCATTTTACATATGATATCTATAAATTTAAATCAAGATATAATTTATTTTTACAAAGATGTGCGATTAACTAAAAGCAATTAAAATATGTAAATAAAGTATAATAATACACGATCAAATTTGAATCGATGGTCCATAACAATCAACAGTTTTATGTTAACATACACTTTAACAAAAATAATTTTTAACGACAATAATTCGACAGATTAATAAAGAATACTAAAATTTTTATTGACATATATTAAATGTTAATTATCAATATAAATAAATATTTAATAATAATTATTAATTAATTACCGTTAAAACTCATTTTTAATATAGTGATATACAAATGTGAAGTGCCTAAGTCCATTTAGTAATCAACACAAACGGATCAATCGGCTTAAAGGGGATGGTACACATAATAAAATATATAGCGTAATTAGCTTAGAATTAGTAATTAAGATATTGACATAAATTAAAATTAATTAAATTGTAGTAATCAACTCCAATTTTTTTGAATAGAGAAGACATGATTAGGTAAATGAAGTGCCTTACGTGAAAAAGATAAGAACACATAAAACTACTGCATTTTTACGATTAATATTTGTTTTACTGCAATCATATTTATGTCTCAAATTAACAAGAAGCAAATAAAACGAAAAGAATGATCTTTCTTTTTTTTTAAGCAATTCTTCATTTCAAACTTTTTACCTAACATAACATCGACACATTTGTTTAAGAAGTTTCTTAGATTTTTATAAACATTTTAAAACTTTATCCAAATCAAAAAAGACCAAGCAAATTAAAATAAAGAAACTGTTTTCTCTATTTAAAAAAGAATGACTTTCTTTTTTTTAGTCTATTTAAAAAAGAATAACCTTTTCTTTTTTTTTTGATAACAACTTCCCACATGACATGTTTAATGCCACAAGATTAAAAGGCAATTTTGTAAATTCTACATAAATTTAATTTAGAATTACATGATCAAAAGTCTTTTTTATTTTTTAAATTACGTACTAAATTAAACTGGATCATTTTTTGTGAAGCGAAGGAAGTATAATCTTTTAATAAATAATGTCCATACTACTAGACCTCATGACTTTATAACCTAATGTGCGGCATCTCCATAATAAAATGCATTAAATTTCACCCCAACATCCACCTAACTCTATTGTCCATCTAGTCCAAATTTTTTCCTCTATAAAACCCCAAAGATCTCACTATCTTTTTCACCCATCACTCAAACCAAAACACATTTCATCATACTATACTCTTTACTATAATATTATCCTCTCTATTTTTCATTATCATTAACAATATGGAAATGGTTAGCAAAATTGCATGCTTTGTTCTTTTGTGCATGGTAGTGGTTGCACCCCATGCAGAGGCATTAACTTGTGGTCAAGTTACTGCTGGCTTGGCTCCTTGCCTCCCTTATCTTCAAGGCCGTGGCCCTCTAGGAGGCTGTTGTGGTGGTGTTAAGAATCTGTTGGGTTCAGCCAAGACTACCGCGGATCGAAAGACAGCATGCACTTGCTTGAAATCAGCTGCTAATGCTATAAAGGGAATTGATTTGAACAAAGCTGCTGGTATTCCTAGTGTTTGTAAAGTTAACATTCCTTACAAGATCAGCCCCTCCACTGACTGCTCCACGTATGTTATGAATTTATAATATTTTCATTAATATTGTTGACCTATGCAAATAGGAATGCATATAACATATAGAGTACAATTTACAACATAATGTGTACTAGCACATTATCATAAAATGGAGTAGTAGTAGTAAATTACAAAGTGTGTTCGTAAGTAAGTAAAAAAATATTCATGTGTAATCTAAAAGAACATTAATATTTATGTAGTATTATTTAGTCATTATGTTTTTTTTTTTGTTAATATTGGTTTTATTCATCGATGCAGGGTTCAGTAAAGTTGATCATCAGAATATGGAACCATTTGAGGAGAAGTTATAAGAATAAGATGAATGGAGTGTGATCCTGCTTATGGATCCATTAGTTATATGTTGTGTTTGTTGTCTTTTTGTTTCTTTTTTCGTTTTGTCTTTTGGGGGTCTTGTATCGAAACTTCACTATCGATGGATTGTATTACTTTAATCCAATCTTGATAATATATATCTATCTTTTTTAGTATGTTTCTTGTGTACTCAATATACTTTCCTTTCTCTCTATTCTCTTTTCCTATTTTGTAATAGATTTTCGATATATGTGTTGCACATGTATATATTCGAGTGATATATAGTACTCCTCGAATATTAGGCTTTAGCTTTAGATTTAACAAAAAGAAAACACAGTTCATTAAAACTTAAACAAACTAAAATTTTTAGGAGTTATCTAATAGCTGAATAAGAAATAAATTATTTATGTATCAAACTTTCATATAACTTAAAAAAGGAACTATACAGACGAACACAAAAAGACAAAAAACTTAGGCGGATGTTTTTGGGAACTATTTTGAAGTTTTAATGATTTAACGTTACTTCAGGATTTATTGAGGTACAAGATCCTAGGAAAGATTGAAAGTGTTTTTACATGAAAAAGACATTTAAAATTGTAAATTTTGCAACATCTGTTGTGGTTAGTGCGTGTCCTCTGCCGTATTCGTCTTTCAGCCTGAAGCCAAGAGTTTATGTCCAATCCATAAAATGTCCTCTCAACACACAGTAGTTTTTGCATTCAAAAGTAAAAACAATCCTCAAAGAAGAACACTGCTTATACTCAATTGATGTAACGTCTTTTGTTGGATTTTAAGCTTTTGTCTTGTGCTTTTATATTGTAAATCTATTCTTCACTTATAAAGGATACTAAATTGATGGTGCGTCTAAGTTTTTAGTTTGAGTCAAATTAACTAGAGTTAATTAGTATAATCATCTATGTTATAGTAAAGCCTTTTTTCATTATTGATTTGATGTTCTCTTGGGTGGAATTGCTTAGGAGTGTCAACTAGAGTTAGTCAATATGTGGATGTACTAGAGTTGTTGCTTGTTTATTCTTTTATCTTTGAGATCTGAGTTGACTAAAGTTAAGCATTATTGGATTCTTGAAGTCTAAATACAATTAGTTGGTTTAGTAGACAATAGAGTTATTACTCAGAGTAGCAGAAGTATTATAGTGAGGGGGGAGGGATTAATAGTTTAATTCCTCAATGAATGGAGTTTGTAATATGAATTTGTGTTCTGTTTTGAATAAAATGGAGTTGAGTTAAAAATTCTATGAAGACATGTCGTGATTTTCTTCTCCCTTATATGTGTTGATTCACTTTGTTTTTTTTTCTTCATATTGTTATGTTGTCAAAGAACTTGATTCCTTAATTGTTAGTGGACGCATACACTACAATAAAAATAACTTTTAGCGGTAATAAATAGACATATCAATAAAGAGTGTTTAAAATCTTATCAACATTAGTTACGTTTCATTAGATTCAATATCGCTAAAGCCTTTAAAAAAATATACAAAGAGTGTTAATTACCGCTAAAAATATATATATTTAGCACTAATCAATTGCCGCTAAAGCTCATTAATTCTATCATGCTATCTTGGTAATTAATTAAAAAATGTATGGACCTTTTTGTCATGAACTTTTGAACTTGCAACGATGACATCATAAATGGTGTCTCTTCTGCCAATAAAACCAAACTTGTGTCTAAATAGCAAATTGAGTTTTATAAAGTGGCCTTTAAGCCAAGAGGCCCATATTCAATTCGATTAATTCGTTATTTTAAAATAAAATTTAATTTTTTTAATAATTATATGTAAAATATTGTATATTATAATTTATTTCATCATATTAATCTGACAAAAAAAATATTTTAAATATTAATAAAATATTTTATTATTTAGTTCTAAAAAAATGTGACAAAGTATTATAAAACTAAGATAATACTCATTAGGTAGAAGTAGTGTTTTTATCTATCTACCAAATGAAAGAGGTCCCCCGTCAAACATTTCAAAGAAATTTACATTACCAAGTGCATGTATAGTTTATACTCTAGCTCTTTCTTTATGCAATAAAGAGTTGGATGAAAAGAGCGCTCCTAAAAAAAAGATTAAACAACTATACGATATATCGGAATCCCCTATTAGAACTCTGTCAAGCCCTCGCTAAGAGATAGAATTGGCTACAAGCAAGGTACTTCTTTCAAAGAACCTCACTATAATAAAAATAACTGTAAGCTAAAGTTTTATTGATAAATCTATATTAAATTTGGATTAAATTTTAAATTATGATACGTTGATCAAGTTAAATTACTCGTTGCTAAAGTTGGATTAGTATCTAAGTTAAAATTGTATGCCTTAAATCAAATTCAAATCACTTGAGTCAGTCCATTAAGTTGACAAGATGAGCCCAACTCATATTCTTCAGGCCCAGGAATAAAAATTGTTCAGACCAAAATACCTTAAAGCCCTAAATTAAACCTATATATAAGGTTTTTTTCTGACCAAAAAACACACAAATACATATATACAAAAATACATAGTTGCTCTTCAGTGGTATCTGCAAGTGCAAGTATTCTATCAAATCACAAGATCCGCAAGTATTTCATCAAATCAAGATCATTGAAAAATGCAAGTATTACAATAAACATAAGTATTCCATCAGATCAAGATCATTCGTGAAACATCAAACCAAGATCATTTGTGAAGAGAAAAATGCAAGAATTCCATCAAATCAAGATCATCCGTGAAGAGAAAAATCAGAGGATTACATCTTTTATTAAAGATTTCATAAAGTTTGTAACCTTCGCAAAAATCCAAATTCAAATATTATTATTTGCTTGCTATTTTTCCTTTCCTGTTTGCGGTTTTCCTTTCTTGTTTGTTGTTTTTCAGGAACGAAACTTTAGACGCATACAATGACCATTAGCGGTATTTAATTCTTAATTGCCGCTAAATTTGTATTTTTAGCGACAATTGTCACTCTTTGTATATGTCACTAAAGCCTTTAGCGACATTGATTCTAATAACACTTAACTAATACCGATAATGAGTTTAACACTCTTTATTAGTGTCAATATTTGTTGTAGTGCCCGTTGATGGTAGAAACCAAATTTTATACCTAGAAGTGAAATAAAAAGAGCACAATCTTAAATTTTGTGTCATAATTCAAATTTAGTTTACCCGTTAATTGTGTGGAGTCCATACCCATTGTAGATAAACATAGCAGAAATGGTTGAATTTTGTTTGTTGCTTATTGTTAAAGTCAACAAATGCTGCAACAAAATGCAAAGCTCACCATTTCTTTTTTCAACTAAAATCTTAGCAAGAATTCTACATAGGTGAAAAGGTTGAAATCTTGTGTTTTTTGTGATGTCACTGGTGACATCATTAGGAGTAGATTTTCCTATAAATACAGAGCCCTTGCTCATTTCAAAAATTCACCAAAAAGAATTACAAAGGAGAGAAAGAAGAGTGAGGCATCACAGAGGAAAATAATCTTTGAGGAAAAATAGAGAGTGTGAGCGATATTGTAATGAGGTGGAAAAATCAAAAGAGTGTTATTTCTTTTGAATGTGTAGTGGTCTTTGGAGTTTTACTCAGACATACAAGTGTAAAATCCTTATTATAGTGATATTCGTTGCTCCTCTCGGGTCGTGGTTTTTCCCTTATTTAGGAGGGTTTTCACGTAAAATCTTGGTGTCATTATTTCTCTTTTATTCTCGTTGATTAACCGTATTGTTGTGTTCCGCATTTCTTGCCTTTATTACCGCAAATATTATTTTTGTTACGAATTTATTCCCAACAATTGGTATCAGAGCACAGGTTCTGCTCATTTACAGAAATATTTTTTGCAACTTATTGTACTATACTCAATAAAAAAATGTCTGGAGTAAAGTACGAGGTAGCAAAATTCAACGGTGATAACGGTTTCTCAACGTGGCAGAGAACGATGAAAGACTTACTCATCCAACAGAGTTTGCACAAGGCACTAGGCGGTAAATCCAAAAAGCCCGAATCCATGAAACTTGAGGATTGGGAAGAAATGAATGAAAAGGCTGCTAGTGCAATCAGATTGCACTTAACAGATAATGTAGTTAATAACATCATCGATAAAGAGAGTGCATGTGGCATTTGGACAAAGTTAGAAAATCTATACATGTCCAAAACGCTGACAAATAAATTGTACCTAAAGAAGCAGTTATATGCGCTACATATGGGTGAAGGTACAATTTTTTTGTCTCATTTAAATGTACTTAATGGACTAATCACACAGCTAGCAAACCTCAGAGTAAAGATCGAGGATGAAGATAAAGTCATAGTGCTCCTAAACTCGTTGCCATCTTCCTACGATACTTTAGCAACAACCATTTTACATTGTAAGGGCTCTATTGAGTTGAAGGATGTCACATCAGCCCTTTTGCTTAATGAGAAGATGAGAAAAAGGCCTGAAAATCACGGACAGACTCTCATCACGGAAAGTAGAGGGAGAAGTTACCAAAGGAGCTCAAGTAACTATGGTAGATCCGAAGCTCGTGGAAAGTCCAAGGTCCGATCAAAATCGAAGGCCAGAAATTGCTACAATTGCGGTCAACCAGGGCACTTCAAAAGAGATTGTCCAAATCTAAAAAGGGGCAAAGGGGAAAGCAGCGACCAGAAGAATGATGACAATACAGCTGCCATACTGCAAAATAATGACGATGTTGTTCTCCTCATAAATGAGGAAGAAGAATGCATGCACTTGACAGGTATAGAATCAGAATGGGTGGTCGACACAGCAGCATCTTATCATGCCACACCGGTAAGAGATCCTTTTTGCAGATATGTAGCCGGTGATTATGGAAATGTGAAAATGGGTAACACAAGTTACTCAAAGATTGCGGGGATCGAAGACG